TCTCTTATGAAAACCCTCACGTTAAAGGGTTGGTTTCGGAAGAGTTTATGCCCGTAATCAAAATAACTTCGGGGAAATATGCACCCGAAGATGTATACGAAAGGATGCAAAAAAGTAAACTTGCCCAAATACTTATAGAAACCCTCATGTAAAAGGGATAATTCTCGGAACCAAGGTACTTCAAAGAAAGTGAAACCGATATTACACATCGCAAAGCATGAAATGAAAACGTGCGCAAAATTCTTAAGCAAATGCAAAGATTAAGGACCTGCATGGATATTCAAGTGAAAATAAGACTCAAACAATATTTGAGCAAAAATGTGTCTTTATTTACAAAAACGTGCCAAAATGGCAAATATAAAAGAATGGGAAAAAGAAAGAAAAGCTAAACTGCAGCATCTCCGGAACCAGGAGGAAGAGAAGTGTCCATACCCCTAGAAAAGTAGGTGGATCCGCCGATGGCTCGACATTTTCCTCGGTTTGGTCTTCAGCATTATCATCCTACGATTCCTCTTCAGTTCCCGAATACTCAAAACTAGAACCAAAAGAACCAGAAGTATTAGACTGCGCTGGGAGTCCATTCTTAGCAGCCAACTCAAGCTCTTGGGCCCTAGCAATTTTGGCATCAAAGTCAAGGATGCCTACTTTGGCCTCTTCCAAGGTTTTTCTTCTCATGTTGTACATGGTGTAAGTTTTTTCAAAATAATAAGGGAAGCTGCTCGGTGTTTGAGTTTTTCCTTGAGTTGGGTTACCTTATCAGAGAGACTTTTCCGGGCGGACCTAATGGTTGGAGGCTAACTAAAGAGCCTATTATGCTCAATAGTTTTTCCTGTACTTCTCTTCCAACTGAGCACACTTCACCTCCATAACAACAAGCTCTTTGATTTTGGAGTCCAAGGCTACTTCTAATTCAATCACTTTTTTAGCAATGGAAGTCTCGCGCTCGGGTTACCACCACTTGCTCACTTTGCTGCAAACGAGCCTCCAAAATAATGACCTCAGTGGCTTTGGTTTCCAGTTACGAGAGGCGGAGGACAGTCTGGTCCCGTTCTGCCAAAAGCTGATTTCGTTCAGAAGTAAGTTCCTCTTTCTCGCGAATAAACTTTTGAAGGACCTCGGAAGCAAGAAAGTTAGCCTGCAAAGCAAGAGAAGGGAAACTTAAAATATATTTATGCAAAAGTAGAAGAAGAAAGGAACGTTCCGCCGTGGCATTATGCATGGCATTGTTCAACAGACACTCTCCCGAGAGTGCCCGAACCTTTTCCTAATCTTTCTCTGAAGCCAAGGGCTTTAGATAGTTAGCAAGCTCCATCGTCCAGGAAAATAGGTTGCACCCAGTAGAGACCGAAAGAGTAACATTTCTCCTCCTTTGTGGATCTTCAAAAGAGGTAGCGTAATTTTGCCCCAAATTCCCATGAACTGGGGACTAGGGAGGAAGAACATCTCCTTCGTGATCAGATGCAACTGGTGGAGATGATGTAGCAATTATTGGTGGAAGAGTGGATGAATATGGAAATGATATAGCAATTACTGGTGGCGGTAAAGATGGAAATGAAGCTGATGGAGTTGAAGGATGTGAAGCACTTGCATCAAGTGTAGTGCTGGTTGGGTGCTCGCCAACCAAAGACGACAGGGACTCGGTACTCGGCCCCGCAGTACCGGGTACACCAGTTGGGACCCGATAGCAAGAGTTGGCATTTTCTACCAAATCAAACTCCCCCCAGAGCACCGAGACATCGTCCTCGGTTAGAGTAGTTAACTCAGCAGATGGAGCATTCTGTTAAGTTGATGATGAACGTCGCCTTCTTTGTTGAGAAGCCCCATCATCATTGGCTTCTCCATCATCGTCAATCATTATGGTGTCTATGACTGGCCCGAGAGGAGGGCTAGTGATCGCAACTTCCAGAGATGACACAAGGGAAGTAGTTTTTGCCCTGTTATTCTTTTCCTCGGATGTAGAGGAATGCCTTCTTTTTGGTTACTTGTTCTCCGGCCAGGGACTCCGTAATGAAACACATGTGCCGGAAGCAGGCCCGAAGACACCTGCCCAAGTAAGCGTCTCCTGAAGCAGACTCGCCGCATCAGCAGGATCAACCAGAACGTCCTCCTCGGGGACAACAATTGAGCCTGCAGGTAGACATGATTTCAAGAAAAAGATAGATGAAATTAGTTGAGTTCTTCACATGAAAAATTGAAATAAAGTGAGATTCAGTTACCATAATTTTTGTCATTCCACCCATACTTAAGGGCCAGTTCTTACCAAAAATGAGTTTCGGGCGTTGTAACTTCCAAGATCTTCTGAATCCACCGGTCTAGGCCTTCCACCACCGGTGGGGTCCATCGAGTTACTGAAACATATGAAGGATGAAGAATCAATACAGTCATGGAAGAATATTTAGTGAACGAAAATATACTAAATAGAGGTCTTACGAGCACGGTTGGAAAGAATGAAACTGTTGACAGAATGATATTATTAGTGGCAATTGCAACGAACCGTTTTGTCCACCCACAATCGTTATCATCATCCATGCTAGTCAATAGAGCATGGTGTCCACATTTAAAGAGGTTTATCATACCCCCTCCCCCCCTCCCCCCAAAAAAAAAATCTTGGGGGAGTAAAGGTTCATCATACGAGCTAATGTTAGCTCTTCTGCAGTGTCCTGGCATAAGCATCGAAGGCAGGCGACTGTCCTCCACACAGAAGGACTTATTTGTGCCAAACATACTTGGTAGCGGAGGAAAAATTCTGCAATCACGGAATCCTACTCTCCACTTAAAGAAAACGCACCTAAGGTAAAAAGATACGTGTAAAAATATGTAAAACCCTTCTTGGGAAGGGTCACTCGCTCTAATACATCAGGAGCAATAATATCCAACTCATGGAAGCGGCAATCTTCCTTCACAGTAGGAATACTAGAAGGGTAAATTGAAGAAGGATACCTGCTGACAGCCCATGAACGAGGGTTAGCAGTAGGAAATTTCTCTTTGAAGTCTTTTGTGGTATTAAGACTTCTAGGGATGGTGGAACTCACCGTTGGAGGAACAGAGTCCTCGGCCTTGTTCTTGTTCTTTGAAAAATCAATGCGTTTGGAAGAAGAAGCTATTGAATAAGAGGAAAGAAAAGGTTTTGGTTCGAAGGGAATTAGAGAAAGAATAGAAAACAAAGATGCAAATTAGAAGTTCGAGAAATTACGGAATACAAAGGAAAAGAAAAAAGAGGATGATGCGTATAAATAAAATTTGGCGGCTAAATTCATGGCCATGATTACCTCGATAATCGGCAAAGGTTGTGCTGAATTGTGGGATGACGCGTGTTTGGAGCATTAAATGCGGAGATACGTGTGTCTAATCAACCGTCAGAAGCATGCGACGGGAATTATAGTAATTCCCGCCAAAAATAGTGTTTCTACCAACTTCCTAGTAACACAAAGTTATGTCACCGGAAAGCAGAAGGACTATCTGTATAGCGTAAAATGCGATATGACACATGGTCATATAAAGGAATGACACATGGAACCCAAGATGGAGATGACCATCAAACTAAGAGGTTCCGCTTGTCACCAGAAGGGATAACTTTCATAGAAAGGTGTATTAAATGATCTGCGCCCGGTAGCATTTAATGAGGAATCTTCTGCAGCATTAAGAGCAACGGCCCGTTACAGGGAATTTGGCATTTATGTCCAATGTTACATCTTCATCAATGACCCTCATAATTGACATTAAAGAAGGGCACGATCCTAAGACCTCATTCCCAAGACATGGCTATAAAAAGAGAGTTCAGTTATCATTGTAAGGGACACGAATTTTTTGGCTAACTTATACTACGTTCTATACAAAGCTTACTATAATTTTACTTTCTTTCTTTTGATCTCATCATTGTTGTACCCGGAAACCTTGTTCTCCGATCCGTCAATTCTGTCGTTTCATCTACATTTTAAGGCTAAGTATTATATATTTCTTCAGTTATTTTATTTTTTCAGGATCAAATTAATTCACTTGTCTAGAAACCACGTATAAATTCAACTGTACAGTTTTACGGACACAAATATCTCCCAAAACAACGAATATTCAATTTTTTTATAAATACAAAGAGAACTCCCTTCTCTTTCATAGCAACAAGTTCAAATTTCAAATTGCAGGTTAGTCATTCTTTCTGTTCCTCCGTGTATAAAACTTTATTCTTTTCGACTCAAGTTACTTGTGCTTGTAAGAAGCGTATAATAAATTATTTTGACTAGTTTTTTTGTGGTAATGGAGTGCGCGCGCGCCACACACACACACACATATATATAGTTTTTTTTTAATTTTTATGTAATTTTACCTGTTTATAAATATTTACTGTTATTATATTATTTTATAAAATATTAAAAATTAAATACTCATGGGGCTTATCCCCGTGCTTTGGGGATTACGCTTCGCCAATATTTATATATATATTTATGCCAATATTTATGCCAACCTATTGAATACATGACACATGTCTTCACATACACAGTTATCACCAAAACATACTGCATATGCTCCCTTTATGTGATAAGATTGTCAAACTGCCTAATTTTCTATGTGGATTGAGATACAAAATCTTGGAACTTTTTAAAATAAGTATAAATTTTAAAAACTAAGTAAAAAATACTATAAGTCACTATAAGCAATAATTCAAAATATTTAAAAGACATATGAAATAATTATGGTCAAAGAAAAAGTTCTTTTGATTCTCCAAGTAATAAGTACATCACACAAAGTGAGAAAGAAAGAATAGCTAATTATTACACAATGTCACCTTAAATCTTTAATTCTCGCTTAACTATAATATAAATTGAAGTAATGTAGTTTAGCGTAACCTCCGGATAAGTTTTTACACTCCTACGGTCCTAAATCCTAATCATACCTTTTTGTTCCTTTTTATAGCCGCTTTGCAAATGGTACATTCATAGTACACTCACATTTGTTAAATGGTGTCGACATTAACTGATACGTGAGTAACTAATAAGTCAGGTTGCAACGTATCCACTTTCAATCTTCCATAGACACACACATAAATGTCCATTCTAATTGTTTGCTTCAAAGTGTAGCGTCCATTCTAAGCCAACTTTCAACCAACCTTTTTCTTTTTCGTTTGCAGTAGAGTGATATAGATTTTCTTGTTAATAGTACTATTTTGGATGGTAGAAATGGGCAAGAAAAAGCTTTTAGATTGGACTGCACGATCCATAATGTCTACGGGAAGCGAAAGAGTGTCCCTGTTAAAAAAAGATGTAAGCTTTCTCTTTTTTACCTTACTCATTAAATAAAGCATAGTATAGTAACAAAAATGAAGGCTTTCTCATGATTTTTGTTCTTTTCTTTTTTCTTCTTGTTTTTGTTTTCTCTTTGGTGCTGGAATTTTTTTGCATATGAATAATTCTTAGTTTCCCTAACTTGAGGATAAATGTCAAACATATTGGTTATACATTTTCTAAATGGATAATATACTTCTTATCCATTTTTGACCCGTTTTAAAAAAGTTCATTATTTAACCCATTTTTTAGTGGATAATATAGGTGGTTAACTGTTTTCTTTTTAACTATTTTGCCACACCTATGTACTATGAGTATATGTTATTGAATTACATAAGGGAAGCTTCTGGTGAAGGTGATGTTGGGTGCGCGAACAAAGTACCACACATTGGTAACTGAAAAATTGGGAGCCTACGTATAAGATGTAAAGATCTCTTAATGGTGTGAGACTTTTTGGGAAAAATTTTGCGGGATTAAAGCGGAGACAAAATTTAATTAGGTTCAAATCCCAGATATGACATTCTTGCGCGTTTTTTGAATCCCCTTGTTATAATTTCTGGCTGCCTTACTAGATGCAGTAACAGCCGTTAGATAGCTGGGTGCTATGTGTTACCTGAAGCATTAAGCGCAAAGTTGTGATCTTAATTCTAAGGTATAGGACTTGCTTCCTACATCACAAGTATGGAATTTTACTGTAGGATTCAATAGTTCATATGATATTTGTTTCCCCCTTTTGTGTTCTCTTTTAATTTAGAAAGGGACTTTTTTTAAAGCTTCTGCTACTTTATATATGTTGTTGACCCGAGCAGCACTTAGTAAATGGTTTTCTGTATGGAGAAGGAATAATGAAGTGTACCGAATGCTGAGCTCAGTAAAAATTCTTATATATGTAGATACACAAACATAAATATACACTTTTTAAGGTTCGAATTGGTCAAAAAATGAGTAGAAGTAGTTGCTGACATTTGCTGAGTGCAACACTTTTAGGCTCGGGTGAAGACAAATGAGGAAGGCACTTCTAGTGGTCCTGGGACTGATCTTGAGCATGGAGAAGCAGAGGTGATTGCTTTTTCTGCTGGCTCGTTCGCTTTTTCCCTCATTTAAAGCAGCTCCCTTGTGTAGATCTTGACTTATTGTGCTTGAATTCAGGCTGCCAATGTTGGATTTTGTAGAGTATTTCTTCTGGTGAGTACTCAAAAATTTGAATGTCAGGTATTCTAGTTTTCATCAATACTGCTAACTGTGTTTGATTTCAGGCAAAGTCAGATGCAGGAAAGCTAATTTTTGCTACTATTGCATTGCTGATAGCATCAACAACAAACCTTCTCATAGTATAGCATTCTCATTCCACTTTTGTTACTCTCTCTTAACATCTCATCGCATTAGAGTTTTGAAAATGCTGAGAGTTTAGTAATTGAGTTTCACACTTTTTTTTATTACTATACCTGAAACTTAAACCAATATTAAGGAAAGATAAGAGATCACATAAAGCATGTAGTACCTATTTCAACGTCAACAGTAAGATTCCACTAAAACTCAGTTGTGGACATCCGCCCTTTGCCAGTCTTCTTGGATCTCCTATTGATGCTGTACTTTACCCATTGCAGCCGAAATTTGGTGGCATGGTAATTGACATTGTATCAAGAGACATACAAACCCCTCAACAGCAAGCTGAAGCATTAGAAGCCGTGAAAAACACGATAATGGCTATTATCTTAATAGTTGTTACTGGGTATGGGAATCTCTGCCCTTTTCCTGTCATTTATCTTGTACATCTATCAAGTACCTATTAAAATCCTTGCTTCGTTTGCTCTGTGAGATTATTATTCTTTCCTTACTGGATATGGTATCTTGAAGAGATGATACATTTCCTAGAACTGAACTCCATCACTTTAGACTTGATAGCACTTACGAAGAGGTTCCTTCTAAGTTCTAACTCAATTTTCAGAAGTGTTTTTTGAAGAAATAGGCGCACACTTAGGCTAGATTTTTACTGTTTTAAGTTCACCAATTTTTTCATTTCATAAGAGTAAAATATAAAATGAGGCTCTGAGATTCAACGCTGTGGAGGACCTGCATGCGACCTGTCAATGGTTCCTTATCAATTCCTCATCTCAATGAGACTTGCTGCTGTTTTGTGGAAGTACCTGTTGCGGAAGCCAAATGTATATAGTGTGAATAAGTCACAACTACTATACCAAAAATTTATGANCTCTGAGGCATTAGTGTTGTAGGACACATAAGACATGGAAAAGTGTTCCACCAAAATATGCAAATTTTAAATATGATGTGTGGTCTGGAGACCCATAAATAAGTAATATGCCTTGTCCAAATTTTGTCGTAGTGAACTCTTTGATTCTCATTAAAAGATACTGTAACATGGTTGCTGCATTTTGCATACTTTAGCTTGTTTTTTTTTTTCTCCCAAGTTTTCATGCCGTGAAATATTCTTTTCAGCTCTCTGTCCACTGCATTACGGTCATGGTTGTTTTCTTCCGTCAGTGAGTGGGTTGTTGCTCGTCTGAGAAAGAATTTGTTTAGTCACCTTATCCAGCAAGTAAATTCCTCCTTTCTTCTCCCACTTTTTCATGTTTCTCTTTATTCTTCTCAATGTTTGCACACAATCTTTTCTTTTGAAGTACTTTTTACTTGACTATGGCCACAGCACAGCAAAATGTCTTGGTTCAGAGTTGAGCCACTTGTTTCTGCTTGATGATTTATAGTTCTTATAGGAAATAGCCTTCTATGATGTGACTCGGACAGGGGAACTGTTAAGCAGGCTATCAGAAGACACCCAAATCATCAAAAATGCTTCAACCACCAACCTATCAGAAGCTTTAAGAAACCTAACAACTGCACTTATTGGGATTGGATTCATGTTCTCATCTTCCTGGAAGTTGACATGTGAGTATCTCTATAATCAAGATTCCCACGCCCCCACTAACTACCCCTACATACTACTACTCCTCATTAGTGATCTGTCACTTGGTTAGTGCTGTCTCTGGTTGTTGTGCCTATCATTTCCATTGGTGTTCGTAAATTTGGGCGCTATATGAAGGAGCTGTCACATGAAACTCAAGCAGCTGCCTCCATTGCTGAGGTTGGTATTTACTTCGTGCGATTTTACAATCGCATGCCTGTAATTGCCTTTTTGAGACCATGCAGCTTCTCTTGAATTTGTAAATATGTAGGAATCTTTTGGGGCTATCAGAACAGTGAGATCATTTGCAAAAGAAAAATATGCAATATCAGGCTACTCAGAGAAGGTTGATGAGACCCTAAAGCTAGGACTTCGACAAGCAGTGAGCATACTCGTGAATTGATTCTCTTTTACTTACAAGATAATGGATATTAACTTAATTAGTGAGGTTTGTTTGTTACCATGTTTCGGTTACAGAAAGTGGTTGGTCTATTTTCTGGAGGGCTGAGCGCAGCATCAACTTTGTCAGTTATTATTGTGGTGATTTATGGAGCTTATTTGGCTATAACTGTTGAAGTTTGGCAAAACCTTTTGTCCCACATCGGTGGGAAAAGAAGGGTTGGGGGGAT